CTGGGATTCCTCACCAGCCTCGGCTCTATGGGAACCACCCTGAGGGGGCAAGGCTGGGGCTGGCCAATCAGGCTGCCTCCCCAGCTTTGCCATTTGATTGCTGTCACCCATGATTGGTCCTTTCTGGGCCATTTCAGGCCTGAATTTCATATGGGCCATAACATCTTTTGTAAAAGGAAATAGATCAATTACCCTTGTTGAGACTCATTCTATTCTGGAGTCCTAATGACGGAAGACTTTATTAGTGCCAGAATGAAGAAATGGTCAGTCTCAAATCAGCATCAGTATTTATTAATACATTAACTGATAAATATATTATGCACGAAAATCCAACTTTAACGTCCTGAGTAAATATACTTGTTTTTTCTTCACATTTCAGTCAGTAAGGCCTCATGTATGCCATGATGTCATGAGACCAATTACACAAAGTCCTCTTGACAGGCTCATTGTTTTCTTGCGGTTACTCTGGCCTTCATAAGGAACGAACTTGCTTCAGGATGTTCAGAGAGACATTGTTCTCCTTCATTTCCAGGTCAAATTCCAGCCACCATTACTTTATGCTTCAGAACTGCATTTAATTTTAATATATTCTTATTTTCTGAAACTCCTTTGTGGCCACACCCGCCATCTTTGGTGTCTGAAGTTATTGACACACACTCTGATCATTCCTTCAGGGAAAGAGCGGTTCCAGAGTACATCCATCAAAGCCTTTGGAGAGAGGGAAGACTGCAGGTGGGAGGACCATGAGAAGTGGTCGGTGCTCCTTGGAGTTTACACATCCCCTTGATGAGATTGCTCACAGGCAGAACATGACGATCTTACCACTCTTGGGATCCAAACCACTTTAAAAGAGCACTATACTTTGCTCTGAGTGGCCAAATACCACATGCACCACTCAATTGTAAAATTATGTAATCCTGGCATTCCAAAGCAAGCACGCACAGCCGTGCAAGAACAGACGTAGTCTCTGTTTGAAGGCACAAGACCCAGACAGCGCTTAGTCTCAAAAGAGTTGTTAAATCATTCTCAACCTAAATGTTTGCTTGGCAAGCATTTTTCTTCCTCTGGAGGAGATTTTTGTTTACAGGATTTAACAATTAAAAACACGCACACACAACTGCACATTGTTTTGCTGTGGCACAAAGGTCAACCCTTGGCACATAGTCGTTTTCCAATTCCTGATCCTTTTTGATTGCTGCTGCGCGAATCAGCGGGCATGTAATTTTACTTAAAGGCAGCAGCAAAGTGCAAATTATGAGACAATAGGCAGGAATCTTGTGAACAACTATCAAACAGAAAGGTCTGTTCAGCTGATGAGGAAAAGTCCCCTTTATTCAATTCTAATGATGCTTACTAATTTTTAGTATGCAGATTCCATCAGTAACACTATTTTATTAGGTCAGTTGATATAGGTGCAAAATTCTGTGTGACAGGAGATAGGTTATCTTCTGCGTGTGGGTTCTGGGAGACAGGTTACACTGAAGGAATGTGGTTCTTTTGTAAGCTGTGCGTGTGTGAGACAATGGAACATGGAACTTTAGTGCTAGGGCTCATTTTGTCTAATCCCTTTAATTAATAGATTTAATTTGGTTGGGACCCACAAGTGATTAGCCCAAGTTTACACAGGTACTTAATAACTGAGGCAGGTCTAGAACTTCCTTTCTACAGACTAATTCTACCTAGAGTTTGTAGATTCTCCCCATGCCAAGGTAGAAAACTGGAATTCCTTTCCATCATCTGTAGTACTTGCGCCACAGCAAGTATTAGAAGGAAAAATCTACGTGTGGTTTACTGAAATACAAGTGGACATTTGACTATTCCTGAAAGTCCAGAGAGAAGCCGTCCAGGCAGGAGAGGCTGACTTAGAATTTGTGGAATGTCTCTTATAATTGAGACTACTGGGAACAAAGAGAAATGCAACAAATAAGCAATGATTCCTGTTGTTCCCTCTTTTGATCTGGCAGGCACAGAGGCAGGTGGAGGGAGGGAGGTGACTTTTCAAGAACACTGGCAATGTTGTCTTCTGAACACCGCTTCGAAATGCTTTTCAAAGTCCTAGAATTTGTTTACAGAAAAGCTTGCTGGCATGGATGGATTCCCCCTCCTCTGACAGTTCACAGGAAAGGGTGTAAAGATTTCAGTGATTCGTTCTGAACATCTGATGGGTTCCTCCATGTACTCCTGACGGATCCACTTCTCATGGCTGTGCTCGGGTGCCCCATCTGGGATGAGGTCATTTTGTAGGGCACACAAAGGATTCCAGGGGAAATATGCAACATATACTGCAGCTATTCACAGCATTCATTCCTCTCAGCCGCTTGCAGATCACAATGAACCTTCTCAGCATTACATGTGCTTACGAAAGAGGCAGGGGTTAGATGCCTTTCATTGGAACCCCCTAAGGCACACAATGCATTTATTATAATGGCCTAGCCCTAAGAAGGGCCTGGGAACAGCTTGGAGTGGCCTATAATTAAGTACATTTAATCATAAATGCACACACTTCTTAGGTATAGCAATACGTGGAAATAAACTCTTCATTTTCTCATTTTCCACTCTCCTATCATCCTTCCCTTTACAAGTAAAAAAAAAAAAGCAAGGAGTTCTGTTAGTTCTGTTTTTTTTTTTTTTAAATAACAATTGCCAAAGATGTCTGGCCAGTCAAAGGGAAATTAAATTACTTGAGAACATTCTTTCTATGTCAAAAAAATGGCTTCTGTTTACTCAGGTAGTTGTGCAGGGGAGAATGTTAAGAGACTGTTCTTTCATTGCTTTTGGATTCTACTTCCAAGGGCTTTCAAGGGCAGTGACCTGCTAGCAAAGGGACATCCCTCCAGGTTAAGCTGCCATTTGCATGGGCCCGTCCTCAGTTCACTGCTGTACCCAGGAAAGAAGGAAGGAAGGAAGGAAGGACAGATGGAAGGAAGGAGCAATTAGAAGTGTTCCTCCATGGCAACCCCCTCAAGTCTCCTCCCACTGTAGGAGCTTTTCTGTCCTCTCAATAAATCTTGCTTTTTTTTTTTTTTTTTAAAAAAGAAGTGTTCCTCTGGCAGTGTACCAGGTCCTTGGTTCCTCCCCATACTTCTGAGTGTCTGAATGTTGCAGGTGGCATTTCTGAGTAAGGGGAGAGGAAGGGAACTCTGGGGATGTGGACAGGGTACAAGAAGAGAAAGTGCAATGGGAGAGAGGAGAAAAGGGCAGCAGGAGTGCTACACGGACATGCAGGCTTGTAAGATGCAGTATGAGGTGTGGGGCTGTGAGGGGAAGGCCTTAAAGGATGTGAGGGCTGAAAGCCCAGCTCTGCCCCTGCCTGGTTGTGAGTGTGGCCAGTTTCCCCAAATTCTCTAAGCCTCAGTTTCTTTACTTGTAAAATGAGAGTGTTAACAGTACAATGAATAGTTAGTCAAAAGTCTAGTATCAAGAATCTTGGAGAGTGACTTAAATTCTCTGAGTGTCACTTTCTGTATCTGTATGATCAAGCTGAAAATATCCATCTTACACATACTGTTGTGAACATCAAAGAACTAATGTATGGAATCACTTAGCATGTACCTGGTACACCCTAAATAGTCAGTGAATGCTAGCTACTATGGTTATTCTTATTAATGCAATTACAATTTGCAACGTACTTTTTGGATAGAAAGTGTTTGCTTCATTGTACAAGTCAATACATGGAGCAAGCATCTAGCTAGAGAAACAAGAACGTCACGCACACTCACTGGGTAAAGCCACACTGGAAACCTGATTATTTTTATTTGACAGTTAATGATAGGGAGATGGGGTGGTGGAACAAATGGATATTATATTTTCTTCTATCTTTTAATTAATAAAGTGAAATTATGAACTGTGTAATTTCAATATGTATGATGAACAGGACAGCATTATTAACAGACTCGTTTTTTTCAACATAAGACCAGTTTTTCTAACTCTGGTGCCCTCATGTTTTTGATTTAGCCATCACTGGTGAAGAGGACCTTTTTTATTATATGGTTAAATAGAGGATGTCTTCAGCCAAATAATGTGATTTTAAACAAAGTGATATTGAGCCTATCAAAAAAGCAAAGGGCAGCCCAAGAGTGGGTGGGAATAAGATTCACTTTGAAAGAAAAAAGAATGAGGCTTTAAAAAAAGTTTGTTTTTACAGCTGAAGAAATCTCCAATCACTGTTCAGTTCAAGCATATTGCCTTGTTTTTACTTTGCTGTAAGTAATTTTTATATGAATTTTTTCAATAAATTATTTTCTTATAAGCATTGGCTATTTTGAGCATTAAATTTTTTGGAGACCAAAATGAAGCAGTGTGACTCTTTTGAAAAGCACTAGAAGAACAGGAAGAAACAGGAGACCTGAGGCAAGACATCTTTCTCTTTCCAACCCAGCAGCAAGAAGAATAAGACGTTTGCTCTTTATTATTTAGAGAGCCTGTCACAAGTCACACGAGAAGGCAAGCATTCCAAAGATCTTTGATTCTTTTTGGCTCTGACCAAGAAAATAAATGACTGAGAAAGTTTAACTGTTTATAAAATGTCGCTGGTGGAAGGACTTTTCAGTGGGTTAAATTCTATAAAATCATTATTTTTGGAGGCAACACAGAGGAGAGAAAATAAACATAATTTTGGATAGAAGCATGTTGAGTAGGGTTTGCATGGACTTGCATCTAAATGTCAGAATGTGGCATCAAAGCCTCAGTTTGATGGGGTTACCTTTCTTGGGTGACCAGAGGATGTGTTAAGGCATTCTTTTTCCTTCAAGCTTTTGAAAATAGACCGAGGACCACAATTCCCAAAACCACCTTCATTTAGCTCTGACCTTTTGTAAAATGTAGGTCAACTTCCTTCCTCTAATGACTTCTAAACTCATCAGTGGTTGTAGATGTTCGTGCACTGATCTCCTTCTGGCTGCTTTTCTGAATTCTGATTACTGAGCAAGTGTAGGGAAGACCCAGGAATGCCAGAATGATCCAGTCACTGCACGGGTTCACTTTATAGATGTCTTCTTTTCTTCAGAATGTTTTTTATTTCTATCTTACTTCAAATTCTGGGGTCATCAGAGTGACGAAGGGTACTTAAACACTCGACAACATGGTGGAAGTAAAAATCTGTTGTAGAATCTGAGGGATGTCCTTGGTGTCCATGGCGACGAAAGATCGGCCAGCTGGTAAGGTTCTCTGAAGCCTGCCAGGATGGAGGGGAAGAAAATTACCATTGCAAATCAGGACTCCCCACAACCTCTGCATGGCTTCTTAGGAAAGGAAGTGTCCACTTCCCAATACTTTGCTCGCTGCCTGCGCCTGAATTGGCTGTTACTAAGCAATGAAAGGCTTGGAAGAGTAACCGGGAGAGACACAGTGAAAGCAGTGAACCAAAAGAAAGGTCTTTTTAGTGAGAAAATCAACGAAATTGAAAAGAAAGAAATATCTTCCATTTGTTACTATCATTTCCTGGTGTTTCATATTCCCTGGATGGACAGAGCACTAGGGATCATATAGGATCAGTTCACCTGGGTCCAGTAAATGTGTTGACCTCACACTATACTTCTAAGTGCTTTTCCTTCTTTAGAAAATAGGCCTCCAGAAATGTTGCCCAGCCAAACCTTGAGTGGCTCATTTTCTCTTCCTTCCTTTCTCTCTCTCTCTCCCTCTCTCCCTCTATCTCTCTCTCTTTCTCTCTCTGGCTTCACATCACACATATGAAATGTAATCTGGATTATTCAATTGTCGCTTCATTGTCACTGATGTTTTATAGACATATTTTTTCAACTCATTTTAAAGTAAATTTTTGAAAACTTACAGCAGGTTTTAGGTTGAATTAACCTTAAAAATAACCTGTCATTGAAATTATTTTTTAAGATATCAATTCATTATTTGGAACAAAAGGCCATTATGAAGGCAACAAAACTGCAAGACACAGTTCTATTTCTTTCATGCTGCCAACAAAGTTTGGTTTTGGAATGACATTTAATAAAAGTCAACCATCCTGTGTAGTATCATACATTTGGCATGCCTGGTAGACCAGCTAATTCTGCAACGTATCTCTTGCCAGTGGATGTTGGACCACTTCCCTAGGAAACCACAAGGGTATTATTGTGCTTCCCTAAGTACTCAAACAGGATCTCTTCACTAGAAAGACAAAATAGCCATTTCAACTCAACCAGTATTTGTTGAACTTGCCATCTGCCTAACACTGGGGAAAATCTGGGTAGAAAGCGCGGCATGGCTTGTGTTTGAGGACACAGAGGTTCTAGAAAATGTAAAGTGCTAACATGTAAAACTAAAAAAAATACAAAGTCAGTTGTCCTAAAGTGACTGTAATTACATATTAAGTCTGTCCTTAACCTTACTCTGCAGCAAGGAGAAGGGAATAGAAAGAGAAAAATGTCAGCATTTCGGATGAAAACATTTCCTATTCTATAAAGGACGCTACACTACAGAATATGACAGGTAAGAGAGGTAGAAAATCAAAAAGGTAGACCCTCTGTGCTGTAGGCAGGGATTTGTTGTTGTTGCTTTTGGAAGGCAATATACTTTCACTTGTGTTTTCTGCTTTTTTTCTTTTCAAAGACATGGTCTTTCTCCGTTGCCCAGATTAAAGTGTAGTGGCATAATTGAAGTCAAGATACATACCCACCTCAGCAACCTGAGTAGGGGACTACAGGCATGAGCCACCAGGCACCTCTAATTTTTATTTTATTTTTTGTAGAGACAGGGTCTCACTATGTTGCCCAAGCTGGTCTTGAACTCCTGGCTTCAAGCAGTCTTCCTGCCTCCTCATCCTCCCAAAGTGCTGGGATTATAGGTGTGAACTACTGTTCCTGGCCTATTTTCTGCTTCTTACAGGTATTTTAACAGAGATAAACCATGAGCTCTTTCTGTTTATAATTCAAAAAGATAAATACTAGTGTGTTCAAGTTATGAAAGTGTTTCTAGATCTCTCCTTTCAGATCATACCAGTGGTACTCATTGTCTGACCAAAAGTTTCTCTATTGAATCAGTATATTCTGTGTAGCATCTAACTATATATTGTCTTATGCCATCTTCCTAGTCAGAAGGGACATATATGTGTGTATACACACACGCACACACACACATACACAAAGGCATACACATATGTAGACTTAAATATATATGTACACATATTCTTTTTTATTGGGGAGACATATTTATGAGAATATAATATATATGTCTATATATGTATGTCTACCTATAACATACATAGACATACATACCCACAAACATAAGCATTATCTCTTATGTTAGGAAAATAGATGTTCACTATTTTGAATATAAATTTGAACACAAAATTATTAGACTGAACTTGGTTCCTTGATATAAAGTGCCAAATGTATAAGATAATGTCTTATTTGTTAGTGGACAAATCAATTTACTAATTACTTATTTTATTATTGGCCTAAATATAAACTAAAAAATAATTTTAAATTATCACTGTTCATCCAAACAAAAGTTAGGCCATATCCCCTCAACTAGATTATAAGCTCCTTAAGGGTAGTAATTCTAGTTTCTGATTTTCCCCCATCTCCCTCACTATCCCTCATGATGCTAAGACCATGAAACAGCATGTCAGCTGCTTAGTCTTTCTATTCTTGCCCTTTGTTGTATGCTAAGTTGACACTTACCTGGTTGCTTGATCACCTAAAGAGCCAATAAAAATGGCAAAAGCATTTACTTGAGGGTCACTTGTTAGAATCTGGGCAAACTTGGCGGGATGTATTCCATATCGTGACAGGTTCGCATCGCTCAAGACTATCACAAAGTACTCATCAGCTTCTTCTTTGACAATTTCCTTGATGGCATGTTCTGTCCCTTCTAAGGTGTGGTCCCCACTCATGCAGAACTGAGAGTGGGCATGCATCGTCTGGAGGTAAGAGACATTGTACAAAAGCCATGGGTGAGAAACTTCTTTTTAACAAACATGCTGATTTTTCTATTGACCATGCATAAATATTAAATATTATACATGAATAGTAAGTCAGAGTGGGCTCTATTTAGAACATTCAAGTGTCAAGAGTATGCAGTGATGTTTTTATTTGGTATAGACTTTAGTTAGAAACAGAGTTGTTCCAAAATGATTGGCACTTACTTTTAAAATTCAAATTTCCATTTAAAATGCGAAAATATATAAGAAAATATAAAACTTGGGATAACACTGGAGGATGGAGATGATACAGAAGAAAAACAAGGACTGGGTTGAGTTCTCAATAAAGTTTTACTACTAAATATTGTACTCACATCAATAGAATGGAGGAAACTTACTTTAAAATTGTGGTGTCTTTCTATTGTGGATTTAAGTGTGTGAAATTATTATTATTTTTAAGTGTGTGAAATAAAATCACCCACACATAACATTGGGGCTAGAGTACTCTAAAAGGGATCATTCTTTTCCTTCTATTGAACAGGTAGGGGTTGAGAAGAGCTATATTAGATATACACGGGACCTACGTTGTAGAATTCTAATCTAATACTAACTATTCTAAAAATATATAGGGAAAAGTTTTAAATATGTGGTAGAGAAAAAAATTTTAGGTATGATGGGTGTTTTCTCAGTTTAATGCTTGAATGTTTGTAAAACTGATAGTCTTTTTGCTTCTTGTATCTACTACTTCTTCAAGAAATCTTTTTAGTCTTTACCTAATCTGATATTAGTTTTCATAATATAAGCGTAGGTGAATATATTTACCTTCAGAATTTCTAGTCTTTGCTTATTGTCCTTGGGGATTTTGTTAACTGGAACTAGGCCAATGTTGTAGCCATCTCCAGAGTGTCCAGCGATGTCGTACTATATGCAAGAGAATCACAGAGTTAGAAACCTCTGTCCACTATAAATGTCCAACTCTGGATGGTTGCTGTCTAAAGTGCTCAACATACGGCTATAAAAAAGTACAGTGAAACAGATGTGAGTTTATCAACAAAGGTAAACAAACTTCAGATGCATCATTTCTGATCCATTCTCTTCTGTGATCTTTACTCTCTAGCAGGAGTAGAAAGTGAGATGAAGGCTTCAGGGTCTACTGCAAATTGCATTCTTAACTTTCAGGGGAGACAAAAAAACACCCACACATACACATACTGTGACAGACAGAATTCTAAAGTGATCCTCCAATTCTAGCCTCCTGGTATACATGCTCTTTATGATCTTGTTTCCTTAGGTGTAGGCAGGACCCATTAATATAATGTAATATAACTTGTGATTAGGTGAACTCTACGGTGAAAGGGAATTTGGAGACATGATTAAGTTTACCTGACTGTGAGTTTATCAAAAGGTAGATTATCCAGGTGGGCCTAAACCCATCAAATGAGCTCTTTAAAAACAGTTTTTTTCGGCTGGTGATAGAAAGGGAAGATGGGAAGATTTGAAGGACAAGGGGGATTTGACATGATGGACTTATTTATGACAGACAGAAAGGGGACACAGGAAGGACCTGAGAGTGGCATCTAGGAGCTGAGGGCAACTCTGGCTGAAAACCAGCAGGGAAACAGGGATTTCTGTCCTACAACCACAAGAAAGGTTCCTCCCCAGAGCCTCCAGGTAAGAACTCAGTCTGGCTAACATCCTGATTTCAGCCTTGTAAGACCTGAGGCAGAGAACCTAGCTGAGCCTGCCTGACCTTCTAAAGTACAGAGCTATGAGTTAATAAACAAGTATTGTTTTAAGCTACTATGTTTGTGGTGATTTGTTATACAACTAAACTATAATAAATTTAGTTTTCTCCTGTTGGCAAAAGTGAAACATATTCATTATAGAAATTACATAAAAGCACAAAAGAGAAAGTAAAAATTACCCTTATTTCCATTAATGAAAAACCCTGCTAACGTTTTGTTGTATAAGCTCCTTCCTCTCAATATATGCATAAGGTTATACCTTCACATACAGACAAATCTACATCAATACAACTGTGAACTAAATGGATAGTGTTGACAATGACACCTCATAATCTGCTTTTCTACTTAATAGTGTATGACATGTATCTTTTAATTAGAAAGTACCTTTTTGATTCCCTTTCTCACTAGATACATGGGAAAGTCCTGTCTATTGAGAAAATACTAGAGCTGGGAGTCAAGTGCAACTCTTACAGAGTTTGGAAAAAAGTTTGGGGCCTGAGGAAAACTATAACTGGGGCAAAGTAGTTCCCTCCAACTGCTGAGTTTGTCCCCAATTCTCTCTTCTCTCTCACCACCCTCTAAAGATTTTTGTGATGTTAATTTATAGAACAGACCTTGGGGCATCTGGGCAGTTGGGGCATCTTCAAGGAAAAATCTGAGTGTGGGTCTGGGGAAAGAGACTTCAGGGAGCACTGTGAGTACTACTGAGATAAAATACTTAAAAATCTGTAACATAGCCGGGCTCGGTGGCTCAGCCTGTAATCCTGCGCCTTTGGGAGGCTGAGGTGAGTGGATTGCCTGAACCCGCGGGTTCGAGACCCACCTGGGCAGTGAGACCTCATCTCTACAATAAACCAAAAAATCAGCCGGGCGTGGTAGCGCGCGCGTGTAGTTCCGGCTACTTGGAAGGCTGAGGCGAAAGGATCGCCGGAGCCCAGCAGGTCCAGGCTGTGGTGGCCGGGAGCGGCCACTGCACTCTAGTCTGGGCGACAGAGTGAGACTCTAACTCAAAAAAAAAAAAAAAAATCTGTAACATACACCAACAAATTATCAATCAACAGCTGGGTTTTAAACACTACTGGGCAATGTAGGGGAATGTAATTATTTCTTTTCACATCTCTTCCTTTAAAATGGTGAGGCCAAAGCTCATCTTTAAACTTTTAGTATCTGTGAGAATGCTTAGCAAGTTTACTGCACAAATGTTTTAAGAGAGAGTTTGCAATCAAATTGGGGTAACGAGAAGCTTTCCTTTTGCATATGGGTTACATTTTTCTGCAAATAAGCTGTTTGAAGGTGGGATGCATTTTTTTTCCCCTCAGCAATCATGGGATAAATGGCAGTTAGCCCAAGCTGGCTGACAAAAAAAAAAAAAAAAAAAAAAAACAACCCATAACATAACTGAAACGGTTGTATTTAAAATGGGAAGAAACAGAAAAAAATGTTTGTTGAAATCGTTGTGCAAAAATAGGAAGTCAGAAGGGGATTATTTGGGGAAGATGAGTTCCACTGTAGATTGCTGAACTTGTCCTGGGGAGAGATGTGGTTAGAGGTGACACCCCAGCAGTCAGTCCCAGGTGAGGGACATGAATGGACACCCATATATATGATGTCCAAATATGTAAAAGCTGTAAGTCTGGCTACAAACTGTGAAATAAAATGTGTTCTGTTCTCCCACTTTGATAAATACACATTATAATAACCTGGAAAGCCAGGACAAATTTCAAATACTTGGGTTCCTTAAAGTTCTGTGCTAGAACATGGCAGCGTGGCCAATACTGGCCACTGACCTACAGCCCACATTCTTCTCTCTCACACTGGCTTCTACCCAACGAGGTGCCTCACACACACGTGGTGGACCCTAGCCCTCTTACCCACACTTCTTCATCACTCCATCATAACCCCCCTGACAGCTGCTCCTCGGCTACCCCTCAGACCTTGGGGTGCTCACACCATTGGTGACTTTGCCCTGGGAAGATGGATCTAGGAAAGACCCCCATGTAGGGCACGGAAGTAGGCCTGGGGTCACTTGGCCAGGATAGTTGGGGATCCTTGGTACCAGGGGCAAGATCTAGAAACAGGGGCTTTAAATGGGCATGCCCTGTTGGCTCCATAGACTCCTGAACTCAGGGAGGGGCATGGTCAGAGGAGGCCAGAGAGGAGCCATGGGTCAGGGCCTGGGTGATTATTCTGTGTGGTCTGTGTTCTGTGCCTGGTTTTAAGTTTGTTTGTTTTTTTCAAACACAAAGGATAATACAAAGTAACCATGAGAAAAATTTTTCACTGTGTTAAAAAAAAGGTTGACAATAAATGCTTTCTAAGGATGTAACACATTTCATATATTTTTAAAAAATCTCCTTATAGTTTGTTACCAATATAGTGAAAAGGTGACAGATTTAAAAAACTGAAATCTAAAAGCAGTTCAGCTCTTGAAAACTGTTTGGTTTAGGAAATGACTGGCTTCAGCATACACCTGACTAGGGTCATCATGTGTTCAGTGCTAGGATTGGCACAGACGTGGAAAGCTTGTAGCATTCTTCCATGGGAGCATACACAAGGGAGGCCCTCAAAGCTCTGGTTTGACAAAGGTCATAGCAGGAACTGTTTGTGGCCAAGAAGAAAGTTCTCCTGAGAAGGTGCCAGGCAGGCCACTGTTATTATGGGGCTGGTGAAGTAATCTGTTAACCAGGATCTTACACACGAGGAAATAGGATCAGTTTCCTGAGCCAGTAGGTTTCCTGTATTGGGTTGAGGTAAGAGGGAGGGTTATGAACATGTTTACTTTTCCCTCCATTTTAACTGATGGCTAGAGTTCTTACTAATCAGATGACAATGACTGAGACTACAGAAATCTTTGATCATGTGTTCTGTTCACAGGTGAACATAACTTGCAAAGAAAAAAGTTACCAGCTAATAATTTTAACAAATAGCAGTGCAGTCAAGAAGGCACCTGAGGGACAGGATGGGGCTTACACGATGATTTGGAGCCCCTGCTTTCTCATCTTCCAGATGGGCCCGGGGATTATTTTGTGCTCAGAGCCAATAAAATGCTTGAGAGAAACCCAAAGTTTATACAAATGTGGACCGTTCCCTGGTGTCACAGTTAATCATTTTAAGCTTCCATTAAAAGCAATACTTTGTCGTAATTATCTAGTATCTGCTAGCCAAGGATTCCAACACCTTTTACACACAGTACTTTGCTAATCCTCAAAACTGTCTGGGTTCAAGGACAGGTACATAGTCGCATCCACTTCCATTGTCTAACTACTGCTTCTCCCCTTTATCTGGTCTGGTTCCTGCCATGACTATGGTGAAATCTGACTTGACAGGACCTCAAAGCACTTCCATGGAGGAGCAAAGGGAGCCAGCAAACAAGGGTCCCACTGTCATTATCAAACCACCTAACATCTAGGTGAGAATTTTTTTCTGAGTAGCTCAAAATTTTTATGATCATTATTTCTCCACTTTTCAGAGTATTCCTGAAGTCCTTGCATGGTTTTATGTTTAGTGTTCAACAAAAATATTAAACTACATGAGTAAGGAAAAACCTTAACTAGACAGGACTGATTTAAATACTTTTTTTGCTTTAGAAACTTGTTTAAATGTCCTTTTGCTATATTTTCTTTTAAAAATCTTTTAAGGACCTTGAACGACTATTGGAATACTATAAGAAAAGGACTGGCAATAGTGGGAAACTGCGGGGAGAGTGGGGAGGTAGGATTGGCAGTAGTGGAAATCTGCCTGGGGAAGTGGGTACCTGCATAATGAATATCTGTAGACCTAACCCTGCATTGTCTCCCCACATCTTTAAAATAAAAAATTTAAAAGTTAAAATAAATCTTTTATTTAGAGAAAGGCGTAACAAATGAAAACAAATGCCAGATGTCAGTCTGAGACACAAAGACATCAAATAATAAAGATGATTTATAATGCTTAGAATGTAAAGAAAGCTTTATTAGAACAAAGTCATTAGCATTTTTATGAATAAGATTTATGTGTAAATTTCTATTAGCAAGGATAGTCATTTGCTGGCTTTAGGGGAGGCTATGCTTTATTACATGTCCATATTATAAGTAGGTATGAGACAATCAATCATCTGAGCTATTTCTGAAAACTATGATGTGTGAAATTCTAACCTCCTTCTAGAAGTCCAAACACACTATTCTAAGATGTCACCAC